TAAAGGGCCAATATGCTCTGAGGGATTCAACTAGCATCAGTTAGTCAGACAAGGACAAGTACCTTGCATGTATGTCCATTGCATATATGTCATCAGAGGAGTCTTTGTCTGAAACAGCTGTATCAGAGTGGCATGAAGGCAATTCTTCAGGTTCAGATGAGCAGGGTTGTCATTAACAGCCGGGGGCAGGGGATTTTCCCTGGCTACTAAGACACTGGTGCCCGGCTACTTTTATTGGAAAATAGAAGAAAAATAGAACCAAAAGAAATCCCTAGCCATTTGATTCCCCGCCTACTTGATGTATTTACCCGGCAACTTGAAATCTTAGTGACAACCCTGGATGAGGACCTCCCAAACAGGAAAAATCTCTGTGTAAGGCCACTTTCCTGGCAGAGCATTGAGGTTAATGGTTTAATGGCCCAGTTGGACTGCAAAGTTGCATGGTGTCAAAGCCAATGAAGTGAAAATAATGGTAATAGAGCACACAGTGAGACCAGCATCAAACCAAGGAGCACCAGATGATGCTCCTGAGTTTGCTCTGGCACCCACCACTTACAATAGAAAAAGGAGCTTGATCATAAGCATAACACAGATAATTTTTTGAAGAACATTCAGAAAAGAAGAAGACATTTTAGATAAAAATGTACAAGTAATAATAACACTCAAGTTGAAGTTGACATGCATCATGATTCAGTTCCTTTTCAGTTAAGTTCCTAGAACCATATTTACTCAGTGGCCAACTGCACAATTTTTTGAGTTTTGATGAAGACCTACAATGTAGTAAGTGAATATCCTTTGACACCCATGGGAAGGAGCCACGTTAAAACTAGGTAAACTACCAAATCTCAAAGTGATTTGTCACAATCCAATGAAGATCTTGCCTGTGTTGCAGACACTCTAAACCTTCTGTATAGGGCATGCCGTCTGAGAATTAGTGCACAATATCATGTTTGAATCCCACAGGGTCACAAAGACATGCATGTATGTCAGCGTTTTGTGATTGGCTAGGTTCTTACGCTATTTGTGATTAGTCCGATTTGAAATAAAGTGTTGACACAAAGTCACATAATCTCAATGACCTTTGTATGGTATGGTGGAGCCACAAACTTTCCCTTACCAGACAAATGTCTGCAAAATTTGCCATCTTTGCAGAGCTGTCCTTGTTAGTTTGCACCGAATCACTCTGTAACTTGGCAATTTTACTGAATTTTAAAAACCTTCCATCTAGTAGCCTGTAAATGCAGCTGTATTTTCAGTCATCGTGTCCATTCACCCAACGTATGTAATTGGAGATACATCTGCATCCACTTTCCGCAGTGGTGACAGATCCTAGGGCTACCCTAAGCACTGCCTTAAAAAGTGCCACCCGAGGACTAAATCTAGCCAATACACCCCATAGTAGAGTAATTACTGGACTCCAAATGCCATGATCCTATTTTGTTCTTGGCATATTTTATGAAAAAAAAGTGCAGTTATGTTTTATGCAAAAAAAAAAAATACAGTGTGTGATAACAGTTTTTTGATAAGCATGGCTTAAATTTTAATCACCTGCATGCCAATAACAATAATAACGATGATGAATTAAAGAAGTTCCACAGAGCTTTCATAGTGTATAGATTGTGTTTAGATATTTAATCAGTCCAATACTGCAAGCAAAACAGCTGATCATGTGAATCAGAAAAAAATTGCTCAAATTTTTAGCAATAATTTGATTTTAGTACAAAAAATAAATGTCATAAATTATTTATGGTCATATAATAATACAAGAATTTCACCAAATCATATTATTTACAGTGATATAATAATAATAATAATAATAATAATAATAATACAAGTGGATAGCAGATTTGCTTTCATAACTTGAAAGGCTTTTGGCTACCTATAGGATGAGAGTAAAATTGGGGTGTCATTTCATGCTAGTTTTGGAAGTTTAGCAGTAAATGAAGCACCTGTAAAATAAAATACATGTACATGCTAAAAAGGTGACAAAATTAACCTTATAAGTGTTTACTGCTGGGTAAAAATATATCAAAGTCGTACCCAAATCATAGAAATGCACAGAGCTTTCGCATAGTAACTCATTTTATTTACAAGACATATTTTTATATAACTGATTTGGTTAAAAATGAATCATACAGATGTATCTCCCCTTGGGGTAAGTGAATAGCACTAGGTACACTATATAATATTATTCACTGCCTATTTTGGATAGTGGATAATATTTATCAGATGAAAACAAGTTCTTATAAATAATAATTAGAGGAATATCGCTTATCATAATAATTTGAGGCTAATTTTACTTCCTGTGGTTGATGTTCTGTCCATTAGTAATGATGTCACATCTACATTGGGAGTGATGTGTACGTGTTGTCATCGTACAACCATTTGCCAATAGTATCAATTGAATCTAGAAAGAGTATATTTGAAGTATACCACTCAAATGGAGTTACGTTTTACCTGTACCAACCTTAGATAATTATGAACCAGCTAGTGTTGACTT